CTCATTTTTCACATTCTCCGTCCTTTTTCTACCTATGTCATTGGTACCGATGTGTACCGTGACTGCTGGTTGCTCACCCTCCCCCTTAAGGATCTTGAAGACATGATCCGAGACATCACAGACCCTGGGAGGCAACATACCATTCGTTCGTCTCGTTCGCGTTCACAGAACCACCTGTCTGTGCCTCTAATTATTGAACCCCCACTACAATTGCCCTCCTATTCTCCTCCCTTCCCTTTTGTGCCACAGGGCCGGGTTCAGTGCCAGAGACATGTCCACTATGGCCTTCCCCTGGTAGGTCATCCCCCCCAACAGTATCCAAAACGGTATACTTACTATTGAGGGGAATGGCCACAGGGGATCCCTGCACTGTCTGCCTACTCCCTTTCCCCTTCCTGACAGTCACCCAGCTACCTTCTTCCTGTACCTTGGGTGTGACCACCTCCTCACTATCACCCCCTCAGCCTCCCAAATGATCCGGAGTTCATCCAGCTCCAGCTCCAGCTCCAGTTCCCTAACCAGCAGTGACCCTTACCTCTCACATCCTGCAAGAGGAGCGTGCAACTGCCCTAGCTTCCATTCCCTCTACTCTAGATTTCCAGAAGAATTAAAAAAAAGCCTTACCTTACTGACCCTCCACACAGTCTCTTTTTGGCTAGAGGAGGAGGATGGGTTGGGGACACTACACATGTAGTGTTTTGGGTTTAGCCAATGCCCCAATATATTAGTTCACTTTCTGGCTCACGCTCTCTCCACACCTGCCTCTGAAAGCAAGAAGGCCGCTGCTGCATGAGGTAAGTTTTTGTACAGAAAAGCTTACCTTCCCAACTACACCCTGGCTCGCGCTCTGCTCTGTTATAAGGAGGCCAAACCCCAGTATGTCCAACTTCTCTTCATAACTGAAACTCTGTACCCTAAGCAACATTCTGCTAAATCTCCTCTGCACTTTCTCCATCCCTCAGCTAATGTGAATTGTAAAACTCATACTGAAATCATGGTTATGTGAACTACATTACATTCATCCAATCACCAGGTCACCTTTTTGAAAAATTCATTCAAGTTGATCAGACATGATGCCCCCTTAACAAAACCATGTGCACTGTTCTTGATTAATACCTCTGTCTCCAAGTGTGGTGAAACCTCCTCCAGTTGGGTGCCTTGTAGCATGTCTTGTCTCCTGAGTTGGGGCACCCGGCTCCCCATCCCACTCTTTCTCTACCTGTGATCCTGAGGACCAATGCACTGTGGGAGTGATGGAGTGCAGGAGTTGTTAATTCTCCAGCAGTGCCCGAGGGTGTTGGGCCTATTCTTCATGGCAACTGCCAACTGGTCCATGGGGCAGATGATTGCAGGCGTGGGCCCACTGCTGCAGCGGCTGGCCAATAACAGGTCGTTATTTATGCTGCGGTATCTGAATAATCGCAGACACTGGATTGGCTATATCACTCCAGTTTTTCTGCTATGATGGTGAGTGTCTCCTGTATGTTTTCCCGTCACTGCTAGCTCATCCCTGCGCATTTCTGAGATCACAGGCTCATCTCCTCTTGGGGGCTGAGCTGCTGCTTGACTCCTCCCGACTGTCAATGGTCAGGGACGTTTCTCCCTCACATGGAGCTGTTGGTGTCTGGAATTCACTCTGTAGGCTGTGAGGCCTAATGAAATGCCCTTATCTTCCTGCAGGGTGTCCTGGAGATAGCGTGGATGATGGCCTCCAATGTGTTCACACTACCATTTGGGGTGATTGTGAACTCTGCTCTGCAGGAGACAGACTGATCTTAGGGAGACTGGGTGCAATGTAAGACAGAAGAAGCAGAAGACCTTACAGCCACTGGTTAGTAATGATGGTCAACATCTGGTTAATGTGACTGTCACAGTGACAAGTGTTACTTTCTCAGGTTCCAGGACATGGATGTCAATGCATTCTCACAGGAAAGATCCCAATCTTCTTCTGCTCAGGCAAGTATCCTGTACCTCAGAGGGGGCAAGGACACAGATATCCAACACCCCATGAGCCTATGTCACTTTGATTTGTTATGGAATGACTTCTGTAATGATGTAAAGAGGCTGAATGAGTAAGATGCAAGCGGATGGTCTGGCTGTTAGGTCTGGTGAATGTGGGGCAAAGGTGTTCTGAGGGAGTGAGGAGGCAGTGCAGAGGACATGTGGAGTTAGTAATGTGGGATAATGGGAGGGGGCATAACAAGTGAATGAAGGAGGATGTTTCGTGTTAACAGATCGTGTGTCGGCGCATAAGCATTAGCGGAAGGAGGGAGCCATGGCACAGAAAAGGGAGAGGTGGCAGAGAGCAGTGTATTGTACTTACATTGGCAAAGCACAGAAGATTATTGACCTTCTTCCTGCACTGCACCACAGTCCTCCTCACCTTGGAGATGGCACTGATTTGGGTGGCAATCTCCGACCAGGCTGGCACTGTCTGTTGACGTGGCCTCCTCTACCAGTCCCACAGGATGAGGACTCCTCTCCTCTCCACCATCCTGTCCACACAAAACTCCTGTTCCCTCTTAGAGAAGCGTGATACCTCAGCTGAGCAGCAAGTTGCTCTGGGAATGGAAAGATGGGATGGAAATCGGGCATGATTCTCAATTGTGAGGGCCCAAATTGCGATTAATGCCAGGCTTTTGTTTAGGATTAAGTTTTATAGAGTTGTACAGCATTGAAACAGACCCTCCAGTCCAACTCATTTATGCCGACCAGATATCTTAAATTAGTCTAGTCCCATTTGCCAACATTTGGCCCATTTTGCTCTAAACCCTTCCTATTCATATACCCATCAAGATGCCTTTTAAATGTTGTAATTGTACCAGCTTGCACCACTTCCTCTGGCAGTTCATTCCATACACACGTCACCCTCTGCGTGAAAAAGTTGCCCTTTAGGTCCCTTTTAAATATTTTCCCCTGTCACCTTAAACCAATGCCTTCTAGTTTTGGACTCCCCGTGCCCCCTCCCCTCCCCACCCAACCCCGCACCCCCATCCACAACCCCCCCACCTCCATGGAAAAGACCTTATCTATTCAGTCATACCTTGCCTGATTTTATAAACCTTTAAAAGGTCATCCCTCAGCCTCTGACACTCCAAGGAAAATAACCCCAGCCTATTCAGCCTCTCCCTGTACCTCAAACCCTCCAATCCTGGCAACATCTTGTAAATCTTTTCTGAACTCTTTAAAGTTTCACAACATTCTTCCTATAACAGGGAGACCAGAATTGAAAGTATTCCAGTAGTGGCCGAACCAATGTCCTGTACAGCCACAATATGACCTCCCAACTCCTATAGTCAATGCACTGACCAATAAAGGCAAGCATACCAAACACTTTCTTCACTATCCTGTCTATCTGAGGCTTCATTTTACAAGGAACTATGAACCTTGTTCAGCAACACTCCCAAGGACCTTATCATTAAATGTTGCCCTGATTTGCCGTTCCAAAATGCAGACTTCACATTTATCTAAATTAAACTCCATCTGCCACTCCTCGGCTGATGGGCCCATCTTATCAAGGTCCCATTGTACTCTGAGGTAAACTTCTTCGCTGTCCACTACACCTCCGATTTTGGTGTCACTTGCAAACTTACTGACCATACCTCCTATGTTCATATCCAAATCATTTACATAAATGACTAAAAGCCGTACACCCAGCACCGATCCTTGAGACACACCAGGGTCACAGGCCTTCATTCTGAGAAGCAACTCTCCAACACCATCCTCTCTCTTCTACGTTTGAGGCAGTTCTATATCCAAATGGCTAATTTTCCTTGGATTCCACATGATCTAACCTTGCTAACCAGTCTACCATGAGGAACCTTGTTGAACATCTTACTGATGCCCATGCAGATCACGTGTGGAGCTGGAGGAACACAACAGGTCAGGCAGCATCAGAGGAGCAGGAAAGTCGACTTTCCTGTTCTTGCTATTTCTGGAGATAGCAGTTCTTGCTATCTCCATGTAGATCACGTCCACTGCTCTGCCCTCATCAAACAAATTAGTGAGACATAATTTCCCACACACAAAGCCATGTTGACTATCCCTAATCAGTCATTGCTTTTCCAAATACATGTAAATTCTGTCCCTCCAGATTCCCTCCAACAACTTGCTCACCACTGATGTCAGGATCACTGGTCTATAGTTCCCTGGCTTTACCTTACCACCTTTCTTAAATAGTTAGCCAACCTCCAGTCTTCTGGCACCTCACCTGTGGTTATTGATGATACAAATATCTCAGCAAGGGGGCCAGAAATCACTTCCCTAGCTTCCCACAGAGTTCTAGGGTACACCTGATCAGGTTCCAGGGATTGATATCATTATATTTACCTGAATCTGAAAAGAACTGCTTGGATACACACTGTGATCCAAGACAAGTCTGAACCAATCCTCTGAACAGCATCCCACTGAAACCACATAATCCTGCATTTACCATGGCCAAACAAACTTACGCATCCCTGGACACTAGCATGAACTGTAGGAGGAAACCAGAACACCCAGAGGAGAATGTGCAAACTCAACACACTGTCACCCAAGGCTGGAATTGAACCTGGACCTTACCACTGTGAGGCAACAGTGCTAACAACTTAGCTACCATGCCTTCCCAAATGCTAGGGATAACGTAACAGGATCATAGATGAGAGTGAAAAGTGAAGTGAATGTCTTTAACTTGAGAGAAATCAGTGACCCTTCTTTGGAACTGGAATCAAAATGTTAACTGATTTCTCTTCACAGATGGTCCCAGACCTGCTGACTTTTTCCAGCAATTTCTGATTTGTTTCGAATTTCCAGCATCCATAGTCCTTTTGGGTTTTTTCTATTTTTAACTTTTTGTATTTACTTTCACCCTTTTAAAAATAAGTGATGGTGTGTTTCTTCACACGCTGCAGAGTCCAATTTTAAAATAACCATTGGAAAATTATTGAGGGTTAAAAGAAAGTAGAATTTATTATTGTGTTCATAACCCAGAGAACGATTTGCAAAATACATTTATACATGCATGCATCCAAGAAAGAGAGAAAAGTGAATGGAAAGCAGAGAAGTTACAAATTACAAATTTTTTGCATCATAGATGTCAGAAGTAATTCACATGTCTTGTAAATCAATGTCCAGTTGAAGTTCCTTCGGACGGCTGTGCACATAAATGTCTTCCATAGCAGCTCATTCAGATGTGGTTGAATTGTTGCTGAAGGTATAGCGGTTATCAGCTGAGAAGTGGTTCACTTTGCAGGCAAGACTCACATCATTTTCGGGACTTATATTTTTGTTATATATTGAGATCAGAAGCAGGCATTTAGCTCAGCCTGGAGCTGCTTATTCTTTGGATGTTACCAGTAAGCTGACACACAAAGCTGTTGTCATGTTGTCCATGTTGTCAGTCCAACAAATTGTCAATTTTTAAGGAAGTTTAAGCAACAGCATATAGTTTTAAACAAAACAATATAGTATCCCTTTCTTCCTGCATGGCTAGGTATGATGCCTCCAGCTCACCAGGAGCCAAAATTTAATTCTACCGTCAAGTTTTGAAAATTAAAGTTGCATCTGATCAATTGAGATTAGTCACAATTCAGTTGGTTATTATTTATACAAGAAATGTTTTTATTTATTGATATTTGAGTTTTAATTACTCACCAGTCCACCCCTTATTCTAAACATTCTTGAACACATTAAACCTTTCAAGATTTCCCGGATGAAAGAAGATTTACATTTCTTTAGTACCTGTCACATCCTCAAAACATCCCAGTATGTTTACAGCCAGTGATATATTTTTGAAGTGCACTTACTGTTGGTATGTAGGAAACTCAGCAGCCAATTTGTGAGCAGCAAGCTACCACAAACAGCATAATTAAAATGACCAGATAATCTGAGAATTTGGCATTCTTCCAATTTTTGTTTCTTGTATATTCCCAAAATTCTTTCCTGACAGCACTAGCAACTGTGCCTTATGTTCTCAGGTTCACTCCCAACCATTACCTCTCTCTCGTCCTATCAAAATCTCTTTAAAAGCTGCACTTATCACCAAAGTTTTCTCATCTGTCATCAGGATTTCTCTGTGGCTCTGTGTCAAAATTTTAGATGATTACACTCCTGATTACACAGTAGCCAGTGGTGGACTGAAGAATATGGGCAATGTACAAGAGGCCAGAATGAAAGGAATGCTAAATTCATGGAGAAATTTTACATTTATTCATTCAATGACAGACAGGTTATATCTATCTGGGCAGTAATTATTGCTCGTCTCTAGTTGACCTTGAGGAGATGGTGGTGAGCTACCTTAAATCACTGCAGTCCGTGCAATATAGGTAGAACCACTATGCTGTTATGGAGGGAATTCTAGGAATTTTACCCAGCGATACTGAAGGATGGTGAATAGCTTGGAGAGTTCCCTTGTCTGAAGAACATTACAGAGATGTAGAGCGTCTGAGGCCATAAAGGATTTGGGAAAGGAGTTTGTAGTTGAGTCCAGGAACAGTGACTCCTATCTGCCCAAAGTTATTGTACTGTACTGATGCTTGTGAAGCAACCTGGGAATTTTTACACCATTAAAAGGTCCTATATAAATGCATTGCCGGAACTCAGCAGCCACCTCTGGACCCACTACACTGCACCCAGCCCTGGCCCATTGCACCATGTCCAGTCCTGAGCCCACTATACCATGCGCAATCTTGGGCTTACTGCACTGCGCCCAGTCCTGAGTTCACGGCACCACGTCCTATGCTGGGACCACTGCAATGTGGCAAAAGCGGATTGCCACTGGGCTTTTTTCTCAAACTCACTCCAAGATTGGAAAGAGCAAGGGAATGAGTCTCAGTCTTTTTTCCTTCACTGTCAGGCTGGTCTCCTCTCAGCTGATGGTATCCCTACGATCAAGGAATCAGTGCCTATGTGATTCCAAGCGTTCTCCTACCTTCCAGCAGACTGCAATGTCCATTTCCTGTTACCACTGAAACTGTTTTCTCATTCTTCTCACGAGGGCATCACATCTGTTTGGCTGATCCGGAATCATCTTTGCACTCTGCTCTGCACTGAAGGACAGAGAAGGACACTTCTTCTGGACCAGGTTAATCCCCTCCTGTGTGATATTCCGACAAAAATCAACATGAAAGCAGGTTAAACTGTTCCCATAAATAGTCACAGCCTCCAGTGTTTTATCAGTTAACCTCGCACAGTTTTCCAGTTTCAAGGTATTCAGTTTGGAGCATTTCTGTAGGATTTGTATAATGTCACCATCAGTGAGGTGCCCACATCCAGAAAGTATCACTGACAGCAGGTTTGGACAGCTGGGGAACGAATGAGAGAGTTTTTTAAATTAAGAAATGACTAATACAATGAGTAATTACAGCGAAAACATCAACACAGCATCAGCATATTAACACTGTAAAGGATCTCATAACTCTTGTAAAGAAAAATACAAGCATTATCTCTGACATCCTGACAAATATTTACACCTCCCCGCAACCCCACCCCCACTCCCACCCACATCACGCGCATACACCAATGTATTTAGAAAAAGATAATGAGGTCATTATTGCCTGTTGTTTCTGATCTTGCTGTGTTTTCTATCTTACACAGTGAGTAGCATCAAAAGTTTTGAATAAAGGGTGCTTTAGAACATTATGTTTGTGAATATTCTATATACATATACATATACATTCTATATACATTTCTTTCTTTAGCAAAAAATCTGCAGGTGGCTGTCTCCGTTTTATGTTAACCGTGCCCAATAAAAAGTAGAGATTGTGCATTTGCTGTACAAGGAGCCTTGGGGAATTTTTGCAGTGCATCTTGTAGATGGTACACATTACTGCTACTGTCAGTGGCAGAGAGAGTGATAGCATCTGGCATGGTTTAACATGATCAAAATCTCAATGGAACAAATGGTGTCATCATTGGAATGAGCTCCTTATTTGTAAATTGTATTTACGTGGCACATCTAACATAGCAAAACATCCCAAAGTGCTTTGCAAGGGAATAAGGCAGATGGCTAAAATCTGGCATGTGTTTGAAGAAACATCTCAAAGGGAGGTAGCAGTGTTCCCTCTAATGATGAGTGGCCACACATCATTCTGCAGAACCCATGCACGCCGACAACAAGTCAGACTCTAAGCTACTGTACGTCCCTGGCTGCAGAGGAAGATGCAACAGCTCTACTCACATCAAAGAATATGTTATGCACAACAAAATAGAATGTACAATTTAGTTGGGAATTTCACAGATTTGTGACAAGGCAGCTGAAGGTACAGTAGCCAGTGGTGGACTGAAGAATATGGGCAATGTACAAGAGGCCAGAATGAAAGGAATGCTAAATTCATGAAGAAATTTTACATTTATTCATTCAATGACAGACAGATTATAGCGATCTGGGCAGTAATTATTGCTCGTCTCTCGTTGACCTTGAGGAGATGGTGGTGAGCTACCTTAAATCACTGCAGTCCACGCAATATAGGTAGAACCACTATGCTGTTATGGAGGGAATTCTAGGAATTTTACCCAGCATTACTGAAGAATGGCGAATAGCTTGGAGAGTTCTCCTGTCTGAAGAACATTACAGAGATGTAAAGGGTCTGAGGCCATAAGGGATTTGGGAAAGGAGTTTGTAGTTGAGTCCAGGAACAGTGACTCCTATCTGCCCAAAGTTATTGTATTGTACTGATGCTTGTTCAGGACTGATATCAGTGCAATTAATCAGACATCGTGCAGGCCTCGACAAGATATGATGCTGACCTCACTGAGGTGTATAAAATCATGAGGGGCATAAATAGGATGAATGCATATAGTCTTTTTCCCAGGGATGGCGAATTGAAAACTAACAGGCATATGTTTAAGGTGAGAAGGGAAAGATTTAAGAAGGATCTGAGGGGCAACTTCTTCATGCAGAGAGTGATGCTTATATGGAACGGGCTTCAGAGAAAGTGGTTGAGGCAGGTCCAATAGCAACATTTACATTTGGATAAGTACATGGATGGGAAGGGTTTAGAGAGATATGGAACAAATGCGGGCAATTGGAACTAGCTGATAGAGCACCATGGTCAGCATGGACCAGTTTGGGCTGAAGGGCCTGTTTCCATGCTATATTACTGTATCACTCTGTAAAGCTTTGTCAGTGTTTGTGTAAGAGCTGTATCATGTTTACAGATGATGCCACTGAGGGACAGATTGTAGGTGAACAATGGGAAGAAGTAAAGGATAGATCCCCAAGCACACAATACAGTAAATGGCATGAGAGATGTTGAGGGAGGAGGATATGGTCAGCCATCAAACTGAGGCAGGTTTGGGAGGATGAAGAGGAATAATGCACCCTTATTGCTTGTGCCTTGCTTTGAGTTGATTCTGAACTGTGTGCAGAAGTGCATACTTCTTGCAGAAAAAAATTGAGCATCAATTTGGAAGTAACAAAATGTTCTGAGTCAAGAAGGGAAAGGGAGGTGGGAGGTAGGGTAATTGTTATTACAGGATGGCAAAGGGTGGGTGTTTAGAAGGGGAGTGCTGCCAGTCACTTTGTAAGGGAGGGGAACAGTACATCAGGGCTGGGATAGGGGGTACGTCAGGGATCGGGATGATGTGTACAGAGGGCTCGGGATCAGGGGCATATGTCAGAGCCCAGGAACAGGGGGTTACATTGGGTGCCATGGCAGGAGTGATACATCAAGTCCTGGGACAGGTGGCTTATCAGAGCCCAAGTCGGGGGATACAGGTCTCGGTATATAGAAACATACAAGATATGAGCAAGAGTAAGCCATTCAGGTCTTCCACCATTCTTTATGATTATGATTACTCCTTCTTGAAATCATACAATGGTTTGACGTGGTCTGATTTCTGTGTTAGTGAATTCCACAGGCTCATTTCAATCCTAAATGAATTTACCTTGTATCCTTAGACTGTGACCCTTGGTTCTGGACTCTCCCACCATTGGTACATCTTTCATGCATTCACCCTATCTTTCCTGTTAGAAAGTTATAGGTTTCTATGAGATCCCTGCTCATTCTTCTGAACTCTACTGAATATAATCCTAACCAATTCAACCTCTCCTCATACATCAGTCATGCCATCCCAGGAGTCAGTCTGGTAAACTTTCGCTGCATTATAGCAAGAATATCCTTCCTCAGATACGGAGGCCAAAAGTGTACATAAAATTCCAGGAGTGCTCTCACCAAGACCCAGTATAAATGCATCAAATTCTTGCTCTGAAGGCCAACATACCTTTTGTCTCTTGATCACCCACTTTCAATTACTTACTTTCAATTACTGGTGTACAAGGTTACATTGCACATTCCTCTTTCTCAAGATATTCAGATAATAATCTGCCTTTTTTTTGCTCCCAAAGTGGATAACCTCACATTATTCTGCACCTGTCATGCATTTGCCCACTCACTCAGCTTGTCCAATCACATTGAAGCATCTCTGTATCCCCTTCTCACAGCTCACCCTCCCACCCGGCTTTGTGTCATTTGCAAATTCTAAGATATTGGATTAGTTCCCTCATCTTAATCATCAACATAGTTTGAGAGTAGACTGCTGAATATTCCTTTCTCATTACACAATACCTACACATCCTAGGATGGCCTGTTCTCTAGTTGGTTCCTCAACATATTTGTCCGGAAAACCATCCCTTATACAGTTCAGGAATTCCTCATATATGGTAATGTTATTTAATTTGATCTGCCCAATCTTGCAACAGTGTCTCCATAATCCGATTATATTCATACCAGCTTTCATCTATTTGTACTATTAATTCAAAGAACAAAGAACAAAGAAAATTACAGCACAGGAACAGGCCCTTCAGCCCTCCGAGCCTGCGCTGATCCAGATCCTCTATCTAAACCTGTCGCCTATTTTCCAAGGATCTGAATTCCTCTGCTCCCTGCCTGTTCATGTATCTGTCTAGATACATCTTAAATGACGCTATCATGCCCACCTCTACCACCTCCGCTGGCAACGCATTCCAGGCACCCACCACGCTCTGCGCAAAGAACTTTCCACGCATGTCTCCCTTAAACTTTTCCCCTCTCACCTTGAAATCATGACCCCTAGTAATTGAGTCCCCCACACTGAGAAAAAGCTTCTTGCTATCCACCCTGTCTATACCTCTCATGATTTTGTAGACCTCAATCCCCCCTCAACCTCCATCTTTCTAATGTAAATAATCCTAATCTACTCAACCTCTCTTCATAGCTAGTGCCCTCCATACCAGGCAACATCCTGGTGAACCTCCTTTGCACCCTCTCCAAAGCATCCACATCCTTTTGGTAATGTGGCGACCAGAACTGTACACAATATTCCAAATGTGGTCCAAATTCATCCAGCTTATTGTGGATGTTTTGTGTATTAAGGCTACACCCTGAAGACTTTTTTTTTTAACATTACTTGTCCCATTCCCAGTATTTTTCACTGTGGCCCTGATTGATCCTGGCCCTTTCTATCTTTTGTTCTTGCCCTTGATTCTCCTTCTGACATAAAGAAATTATGGGATCATCAAATCTTGTGACCACAGCCCATTAAGATAAAAGGGTAACAAGGGAAACAGTAGGCCATTAAAGTCCACAGTGGTAATTTGTGAGTGCAGCCAGAGAGTGTCGGCAGGGTTCTCAATGAATACTTTGGATCAGTGTTCACTAGTGAGAGGGACAATATGGGTATAGAAATTAAGGATAAGGGCTGTGATACAATTAAAGAAATTAGCAGAGATAGAGTGGTTCTGTGTGATCTTGCAGGTTTGAAAGTAGACTATGGACAATTTAGCATGGCTACTCCACCTACCCTACACATCTTTAGACTGTGGGAGGAAACTCACTCACACACAGGGAGAATGTGCAAACTCCACACAGACAGTTGCCTGAGGCTGGAATGAACTGCCTCCCTGGTGCTTTGAGGTAGTTTTGAGCCACCATGCCACCTGTAAAGTATATGAATCATAGAATCCCTACAATGTGGAAGTAGGCCATTTGGCCCATTGCGTTCACAGCAACCCTCCAAAGAGCATCCCACCCAAATCAACCCTGCATTTCCCATGGCTAATCCACCCAGCCTGCACAACCTTGGATGCTATGGACAATTTAAGCATGGCCAATCCACCTAACCTGCACTTCTTTGGACTGTGGGAGGAAACCTGCACAGATATGGGGAGAATGTACAAACTCCACAAAGACAGCTGCTTAAGGGTGGAATTGAACTCAGGTCTTTTGGTGCTCTGAGGCAGCAGTGCTAACCACTGAGCAATGTGTAAGATGTTATTGGGAGATTATCACCTCCCCTGGAACTTTAATTGACAAAGGCAGCATGGTAGTCCATAGTCTGAATATGTTCAGGCGAGGTGGATTGGCTATGCTATATTGATCATAGTGTCCAGGGATGTGTAGATTAGGTGTGTTAGCCATTGGAAATGCAGGGTTATAGGGAGGGGCTGGGGGGGATGGGTCTGGGTGAGATGCTCTTCGGAGGGTCAGTGTGGACTTGTTGGGCTGAAGGGCTGTCCCCAACACTGTAGAGATTCTATGACATCATTGCCACAATTTTGTTTTATATTTGACTACGAATATCAAAAGAGAAAGAAACTTTCAAGTGCTCAGCGCCAACCCTGTTTGACTCCCACAAACCTGTTAGTTATCCGAGTTAAGAAATTGGTAACAAGATGTTGGTGCTGGCTGCAGATGTCTCGCTGGAAACTGCTCTTCCTCCAGTCCTCAATGTTACAGACTTTCACCCGGCTGGAGTGCCAGCAGATTGACAGCGAGCGTAACGCGGGGCTCAGAACAAAGTTATCCCTCTTCAGTTCTGATGGAGAACAGAAGCACAGTAGAGACCATAGAGCTGGATCGTGATAGATCTCACGGAACACATGACAAACTCTCGACAGACCTTTCCGGCTCTCCTTGTCCAGGAAGGAGAAAATGTGAAGCAGGCACTCTCGGTTTAATTCTGTGAGCAGCATCAAAAGGAACGTTTTGAACCCAGACTGGAACAATTGAACTACAATGATTGAGTCCGGGAATTCTGCATCATTACAGGCTGCAGCCACAAACCTGGACATATATGGATTAGGAATGTAGCCTATTCGGAAAGTGACAACTGGTATTTTAAATATAGAAGGGTCTCAGGCAGCCTTGTAGATTAAAGCGGTTGGGCGGGGTGGGGAAGGTGGTTAACTCCTTGTTTCTCAATAATGCGCACCAAATATTTCCCGAATTTTGCCCAATAATTTCACCGCCTTCATTTATGTCTCTTTTCAACAGAACTCTTTTCCAGGTTGTTCGGAGCATATTCTTCATCCGGCCGTTCAGACTGCACAGAAGCTAAAGTTGTTGCAAGTTGCCAGGCATTCTGAGAGTCGGTTAATAATGCCCAGGGCCAGGACGGTGTCAGGCAGGAATGGCGAACCAGCACCTCTGGCTAGCAGAGGCGGAGAAGAATTGACAGGCGGGTGAATATACTGGCATGGGACCATGGAGAAGGATGCCAATCAACTGGGGAGCAATGGAAAGGAATGTGATACCGATTCTTCAAAATTCTCTAGATTTGCTCCTTTCCAATTTGCTGCAACAGTACACAATGTAATAGCTGTTCATCAGAGGCAGCAGCAATAAAGCCCACCGAAAGGTGGCTGGAGAATTAATGGGTGGAACCAGCCGTGAGGGAGGATGCAGCTCCTCACCCGGGATATCAGCAGCAATTGGAAAGAGGAGGACGTAGCTCTCTGATGGCAGCGAAAAAGATAATTTGTTCAGGAACAACAGAAATTGCTAGCTAGACTCAGCACGTTTAGTAGCATCTTTGGGAAGAAAGCAGAGTTAACGTTTCGTGACTCTTAATCAGATCCCCAACACCCGCAATTTTTTATTTTTGTTTGTGCGGGAGCCATGCAGATAACTGCCACAGGAGGTCAGTAATTTCTGCGTGATATAACTGCGTGATATAAAGTCAGCAGTGAAAGCGGAATAGGTTGAGGTAGCCTGGAGACAGTAAGGAGTGCAGATACTGGAAGCAAGAGTCAAAAAATGTGGAGCTGGAAAAGCACAGCAGGTCAAACAGAGGAGCAGGAAAGTCAACGGCCTTCTTCAGAACTGGGGAGGATGAGGAGAGCCCAGAAATAAATAGGAGGGGAGTGGGGTTTGGGGGAAGGTAGGTGAGAAGGAGATAGGTGGATGCAGGTAGGGGTTTATTATGGTTGGTCAGTGGGAAGGGTGGAGCTGATAGTGAGTTAGAAGATGGACAGTTTTGGGGGGGGGGGGGGGGGGGGCCGGAAGAGATTTTAAAGCTGGGAGCCAACTGTGGTAGAGAAGGTTTGCACCGAGGTAGGCGGGACCAGACCTGCTAATAATAAACACAGGTGATACATATACTCATATAGGCCGAAACACCGGTCAACGCTGAAGGATTTTACTAACTTAATTTTTCATGCTATCTTGCTGAACTAATCCCTATCGATAACAACCGCAATGGTTATTTGTTTAAATTACAAAATGTTGTTTGTCGCGCCGATTAATGTTCCTAACAGAGGGAATGAGGAATACCATCCAACATACACCCCCATGGACTATACCAAAACACAAACAAATGCTCAGTTCAACACAACATAGCACACTGACGCTAACACTCGGACAGCAAGTAATCGTACATATGACATGTATGGATCATTTGTAGGAACCCATTGAAGAACAAAGAACAATACAGCACAGGAACATGCCCTTTAGCCCACCAGACTATACTGATAAATGGGTAAACTGAAAATTTTTTGCCTCTACATGATCCTTATCCCTCTATTCCCTGCCTATTCTTATCAAGAGACCTCTTAAATATTTTTATTGTATTTGCTTCCACCACCTCCCGTGGCAGTGCATTCCAGGCACTTGACATCCTCTGTGTAAAAACTTGCCTCACAGAATCCCCAGAGCGTGGAAGCAGGCCGTTGGCCCTCTAAGTCCACACCTACCATCCAAAGAGCTTCCTATCCAGACGCACCCCCTTGCCCTATCCCTGTAGCCCTGCATTTTCCATGGCTAATCCACCTAGCCTGCGCATCTCTGAACACTATGGGCAATTTAGCATGGCCCTCCCACTCAATCTGCAGATCTTTGGACTGTAGGAGGAAACCCATGCAGAATGTGCAAATTCCACACAGACAGTTGACCAAGACTGGAATTGAACCCGGGTCCCTAGCGCTGTGAGGTAACAGTGAGCCACCATACCACCTCTACATCTCCTTTAAATTTACCCCCTCTTACCTTAATCCTATGTCCCCTAGTAATTGACATTTCTAGCCTGGGAAAAAGGCTCTAAGTATCCATTCTATTCATACCTCTCATGACTTTATAAACTTCTATCAGGTCGCTCCTCATCCTCCATTGTTCTCATCATAGCTATTACCCCCAAACCAGGCAACATCCTGGTAAACCGTTTCAGTACGCCTCTCCAAAGCATCCACATGCTTCTGGTTCTGTGGCAACTAGAATTGTATACAGTATTCCATTATTTGAAGAGATTCAGTCTACTCTTAAGTTCCCAAATGTAACTCAGCTAGTGTAACTAAGCTATAGTAAAATTCACTGGTGCTAATTAATGCTGATAAAGATTTGCATGATAATCTGCTCCACCAGTTGATACCTGCTTCAAAGGTGTTTGACTTTACTTGAGCTGCGTACGAGACCGTAATGGGCCGATTAATGATAGAAGCAGCTCAACTAAATGGTGGAACACAGTGGCTCTGGAGAAAGAACAGACTGAAATGTAACCTGATAAATGATGTCGCAACAACATGCAATCCAGGGATCTCAATCGTTAACTCCACTGATTAATTGCAAAAGGTCAAAATCCGAAGTTCACAGCTTAAGGACATTTTAAGAAAGACACAAGGGTTGAGTCCCTTGATCATCTTGAATGATACCCAATTAATCAAAGACTGAGGCCTGACAAAAATAGTTCAGAGCCTGACCATTGTACTGGGCAGTCACATGTGCATTATCAATAATTGGGTTGATTGGGGTGGATAAAAACATTTCAGATGATGCCGGTAAGGAATGGTATGGTCAAGGATACTCAAACAAGCATGGTAAAATTTGAGACAAATTAATGATGTATGTTTCCTTTGTTGTTAACAGGTGCACATTTCTTTAGCCTTTCACAACACAACCATGGATGAACCAGTTACCAGCTCAGGGGTTTAACACGTGTATAGAGAACTGATGCTGAATGTATTATGAATATAATAATCACTGGGGCTTATAGAGGTTTATAAAGTCATAAAGGGCAGGAATAGGATGACTAGCCATGGTAGGGAAGTCCAAAACCTGAGGGCATATGTTTAAGGTGAGAGGGTAAAAATTTAAAAGGGGCCTGAGGGGATTTCACACAGATGGTGTGCATGTATAGAACGAGTTGCCAGAGGTGGAGGCGATTACAATTAACAATATTTAAAAAGCATCTGATAGGTACATCAATATGAAGGGATTAGAGGGATATGAGCCAAATGCTGGCAAATGGGACAAGATTTGGGGATGGCACAGTGGCTCAGTGGTTAGCACTTCTGCCTCACAGCACCAGGGACCCAGGTTCAATTTCACCCTCAGGTGACTGTCTGTGTGGAACAAAGAAAATTACAGCACAGGAACAGGCCCTTCATCCCTCCAAGCCTGCACCAATCCAGATCCTCTATCTAAACCTGTCACCTATTTTCCAAGGATCTGTATCCCTCTGCTCCCTGCCCATTCATGTATCTTAAATGATACTATTGTGCCCACCTCCACTGGCAACACATTCCAGGCACCCACCCCCACCACCCTCTGCGTAAAGAACTTTCCACACATATCTCCCTTAAACTTTTCCCCTCTCACCTTGAAATTGTGACCCCTAGTAATTGAGACCCCCACTCTGGGAAAAAGCTTCTTGCTATCTACCCTGTCTATACCTTTCATGATTTTGTAGACCTCAATCAGGTCCCCCCTCAACCTCCATCTTTCTAATGTAAATAATGCTAATCTACTCAACCTCTCTTCATAGCTAATGCCCTCCATACCAGGCAACATCCTGGTGAACCTCCTCTGCACCCTCTCCAAAGCATCCACATCCTTTTGGTAATGTGGGACCAGAATGCAGTATTCCAAATGTGGTCGAACCAAAGTCCTCTACAACTGTAACATGACCTGCCAACTCTTGTACTCAATACCCTATCCAGTGAATGAAAGCGTGCCGTATGCCTTCTTGACCACTCTATCGACCTGCGTTGCCACCTTCAGGGTACAATGGACCTGAACACCCAGATCCCTCTGTGCATCAATTTTCCCCAGGGCTTTTCCATTTACCGTATAGTTCTCTCTTGAATTGGATCTTCCAAAATGCATCACCTCGCATTTGCCTGGATTGAACTCCATCTGCCATTTCTCCGCTCAACTCTCCAATCTATCTATATTGTGCTGCATTCTCTGACAGTCCCCTTCACTATCTGCTACTCCACCAATCTTAGTGTCATCTGCAAATTTGCTAATCAGACCATCTATAACTTGCTCCAGATCATTTATGTGTATCACAAACAACAGTGGTCCCAACACAGATCCCCGGGGAACACCACTGGTCAGAATTCTCCGTTTTGAGAAACTCCCTTCCACTACAACTCTGTCTCCTGTTGCCCAGCCAGTTCTCTATCCATCTAGCTCGTACACCCTGGACCCCATGCGACTTCACTTTCTCCATCAGCCTACCATGGGGAACCTTATCAAATGCCTTACTGAAGTCCAAGTATATGACATCTACAGCCCTTCCCTCATCTATCGACTTTGTCACTTCCTCAAAGAATTCTATCAAGTTGGTAAGACATGATCTTCCCTGCACAAAACCATGCTGCCTATCATTAATAAGCCCATTTTCTCACAAATGTAAATAGATCCTATCCCTCAGTATCTTCTCCAGCAGCTTCCCCACCACTGACGTCAGGCTCACCAGTCTATAATTACCTGGATTATCCTTGCTACCCTCCTTAAACAAGGGGACAACATTAGCAATTCTCCAGTCCTCCGGGACCTCACCCGTGCTTAAGGATGCTGCAAAGATATCTGTTAAGGCCCCAGCTA